CCTTTTTTCCGGGCCCCCTTCTTTTTTCCCGCCGTTCTTTGCCGGAATGGCGGGCCCCTTTTTCCCTCCTTGCTGCCTTCCTCCTGGCTGCCCCCCCCCCCCCCCCCTTTCAGGCGCGACGAGCCGCCGAGAGCCCAGCCGCGGGCGGAACGGCGCAGCCAAAGCCGACCGTCCAAAAGGCAGAGCAGCTGCGCCAGCGGGGCAACAAGGCCTTCGCGGAGGGCAAGTTCGCGCGCGCCGTCTCGCAGTACTCCGCCGCTCTCAAGGAGACCGCGCCGGCGCGGGAGCTCTAGACGCCGCACACAGAGACCGTCTAGCACTCGAGAGGGGGCGAGTGTGTCCCGCAGCGTGCTGCTGGTTCCGCAGCGTGCTGCTGGTTCCGCAGCGTGCTGCTGGTTCCGCAGCGTGCTGCAAGGCTGCACCAGAGCGCCCTGACGAGAGCGCCCCGACGAGTGGACGGCACGAGGCCCCCCCCCCGCCGGACTCTGGCGTTGGTGGCGTAGGCGCGGGACGGCCGCGTGCTCTCCAACCGATCCGCCGCGTACACCAAGCTCGAGCGGCGAGAGATAGCCGAGAGCAGCCGAGATGCAGCCGAGAACAGCCGAGATGCAGCCGAGGTGCAGCCAAGGTGCAGCCGAGATGCGCCGAGCTCGAGCGGCGGGGAAGAGAGCCGTGGGGACCTAGCCCTGGACCCCCCCCCCCCTCCCCTCCCCTCCCTCTGGTGTGCCCAGGCACGACATGGCCATCAAGGACGCCGACGAGTGCGCGGCGCTGTGCCCCGACTGGGACAAGCCGCTCGCGCGCCGCGCGATGGCGCTCGCCTCGTCCCGCCGCCTCGAGCCTCCCGGGGGCCCTCTTCGAAGCCTCCTCCGGACCCTTCCCCCCTAGGCTCTCGCCGGCCTCGGCCGCCACCTCGAGGCTGCAGACGCGTTCGATGCCGCCGCCGCAAAGTGCACCGGCGCAGAGGCGGCGCCAGGCGGCATGCACGGCTCGGGCGCCAAGGCGAGGGGAGAGAATATCCCGAGACGCTCCCAAGACTTCCCGAGACTTCGAGACCCTTCCGAGACCCTTCCGAGACCCTTCCGAGACCCTTCCGGGACGCCTCACTGCCCCCGAGCCCTCCCTGCGTCGCCCTCACTCGCTGCTGCCCTCGCCGCTGCCCTCACCGCCGCCCTCGCCGCCGCCTTCGCTCACCGCCGCCGCCCTCGGCCCGAGCAGGCGCGCGCCGAGTACGGCCGGCTCGCGACGGCGCAGCGCGAGTTTGCGGCCGAGGCGGAGAAGAAGGCGGAGGAGGCGCGGCTGGTCGAGGCGGAGAAGGCGGAGCGGCGGCGGCGCGAGGCGCAGCAGCGCGAGGCGAGATGTAGCCGAGATGTAGCCGAGATGCAGCCGAGATGCAGCCGGGGTGTAGCCGGGGTGTAGCAGTAGCGCGAGGCGGAGGGCGAGCGAAGCGCGGGGCAGGCGGCAAGGGAGGAGCCGCCCCAAGAGCCGCCCCAAGCCCTCGCCGGAGCTCTCTGCTGCAGGCCGAGGCGGAGCGGAGGCGGGGCGAGGTTGCCTTCGAGCTGCGGGAGGCGACCGCCGGGGACGATGAGCACGTCCTCGAGCGCTGCATCGCCGCCGCCCAGCGCAACGGCGTCGCAAAGGCCGAGGTGGCGAGCGCGCGCGCCGCCCTCAAGAAGAT